CAGTCCCAGGACTACCACTGTAGCTCAGAGACAAAATTTTTCAACCTGGAGGTCTGTGGTCCAGGCTTCGGGATATGTGAAAGTGACTTGGAGAAGCCTGGAGAAGCAGGGTCGTGTAGGTTGTATAATTGCCTGCCTAAGGGGGACCTGAAGAGGACGGCACTCTGCTGAAAGACTTGCAGGGTTCACAAATCAAAATGGTGAAAACCAACTAACTACAGCAGAAATGGCTGATCAAAGAAACCCTTGAATTATCTGTTCTTCTTAGAGATAAATCTCAATGTAAAATGTTGTGACTGGCCAATAAACAATGGAAGAAGGCTGAGAGGAGATGGGCAAGGGCAGTGTGCCCTGAAGCTCAGGGAATAATGCAGGCTGTGACTGACCACAGCTGTTGCAAACAGAGCTGACTTTATCTCAACACAAATGGGACCCAGGGGTGAGTTTTGTTTTAGATGAACAACTATGTCAGTTGAGTGGATCAACTGAATACACCACAGCTGAGTGGATCAAATCTTTCTCTGAGTTCATTAAAGGAATGAGAATGTCTCCCAGACCAGCATGGGGAGGGTGTGTATACATGGCTCAGCCCAGCATAGAGCATAAAAACTGAACAACATAAACAAATAAATAAATTTGAAGAGAGCCACAGGCCTGATCTGCTTTCAACCCACATATTCCTTCTCAGTGTCTGGTGATGCCCAGCATCGTGACAGTGACCATATTACAGAGACCAGCAACAGTATCACACACCGGTGTTGTCTGTTATTGCCATTGCTGTTATTTCCCATTTGCTAAGTGCAAATTACATGGTATTGTGATTTCAGTATATTTTGTATCACGGTGCTAAATCAAAAATCCCATGTAACATTAAATATCTTCAAATAAGTATGCTGCATATTAAACATTATACTCTTCACATGTGGCCTGCCTAAAAAAGTCCAGTCAGAGAGTACAGGACTCTGACATATGCTCATATTATTTATTTGTTTGTCTATTTGACAACTGAAAGGGTTTATTGCTTACGCTCTGGCATAGACCCATTTGAGATATTTATAGCTGTAAACATCACTCTCTTAAGCTCTCTCACAGCACAGAATCCATCACATTCTTTCATTTCACTACTCTGTTTCTTACACTCGTGCTGCAAAACACACATCTGTTTAAAAGTATCAGAAAAAACTGCTGGCATTCTTACTTCAACAAATACGTTTACCTTCCCATTAACAAGCAGATATGTAGAACAGAAAACATTCCAGCAGTGCACTCTGTTTTTTCGTCACAGACAGCAACATGAATATTTTGTAGGCCACTTTGTCTATGCATTAAGCCAGCATTTTAAAGTATTATACTGGTTTAAACAAACAGCTGTATGTTTGGAAAGTGATCTACTGCATACAAGCAATGTTTAAAGGGGAAGCAGGAGAAAGGAATTTCTAAATAACCAAATCATACAGACACTAACCTTATATACAGAAGCCACATTAACAGCATGTGCTGGGGGAATGTGCTGGGAAGCAAATGAAAAAGTACAGATACAAGACAAATCAACTTCTCAAAAGGGCTAAATATGCTCTATTACATTGTGCCTACAATGAATATAAGGTTAGCAGATGAAGGGTTCATGAATGTTATGCATACATGCACCCTTATATGTATGCTAAATTAAACCAAAAATACAAGGTAGAGCTAATCACACTAAAAATGACAGCATTTACTTAAAAGCTTCTTTGACACTATGGATACTTTTCTGAAGCGAAGGAAATAGGTATTTATATAATATCTTTTTTTTTGTTTCTGTGCAATTAATTCTATTCTCACACTTACAAAGGAACTGCTAAGAAAAATAACATTATACAACAGTTTGCCATTATTTTAAAGGAATCAACCCACTAAATTAAAAACCTATTCTACCACACTTACTCATAAACAAAATTCCAGTGAGTACTGCAGGAGTACTAACCACCTTGTAAATATATGCTATAGAGATACAGAATCCTCATCTTTCCTTCTATACATACCAATTTTCAGCAATACCTTCAGTATCATTTCATTCTATGTATTATTTTATTTGACATCCACTTTTCTGAACTACTATACACTTTTAAAATAAAGTTCAGATAATTTCAACATGTTCTGGGATTTGAGAAATTAACATTCCACAATAGAGAAATAAGGTATTATTCTTGCTTTGCTGAACATATGTTCTAAATCAAAATTGCTCTTCACTTCCCCCACATACACACACACTAAACCCTGGGGAAAAAACCCAAACGCATAACCCAATGGACGTGTGTGTGCATACACACACAACTCGCAGCAAACAGTTTTAAAGGAAAGCTGATGTATTTATTTCAACAACTGGTCTAATAATCCAAGTGGCCTGATGTTCTCTTGAGGTTACAGAATTACTTAAGGGAAGAGTAAAAGGACAGGAGATTGCTATTATTGCTCAAAGCAAATTCCCAGGCAGCCTCATGCTACCATACTAGCACTACAGAGACTTCTAGCCATCAGCTGGCAGAGCACAATATGCAGAGTTTTAAAGAGCTCACAAAGTAAAGAGGTTAGGAAATCTAGCGGCACTCACCCAGTACGAACTGGGCACCTCCTCCAAGAATGTTGACAATCAGCTGAATTGCCTTAGATATTTTCAAAGAGAAAAGGACTTTGGGTCTGTGACAGAGGCACTCAACCCCCCTTAACCAAGGCAGCACTAGTTTGGTACAGGCTCCAAAGGAGGTAAAGGCCTGAGCCGTAGATGGGCCAAGAACTCCTCTAGGAAACCCATAAAAGAACAGAGTGAACAAAGTTGTGGGTAGAAGGATTCTCATGCATATCTCTCCCCTTATATGCAATTTGACGACAAGCCAACCACTTTAACCCATAAATACGACAGCCTGAGTGAGCCTTCTTTGAGCTCCCCCTGCCAGGCAGCATTGTTGCATGGCAGCGATCTGCCCTCGAGCTGGGACACCTCTCAAGGTTGCTCCTCGAGGCAGAGAGATGTTTTACCAATGACAGATCGTTGGATGAGCCCAGTTTGAGTTCTCCTTGAACGGCAACCAGACTGCATGCCAGGCAACTCTACCCTTGAGCAGGGATGCCTCTCAGTGTTAAGAGATATTAGTTATTTAGCTTAAATAACTAAGTTTTCAATAGAATGAATCAGAGTTATAATGTTCTGTGATTTAGTATGCCATTTGCTTAGCTCTACTTACTTCACAAGTAGCTTTCACTTAGATTTACTGAACTTGCCCCTACTTAGTCAAAACAGGGGCCTCTAGAGCCAGCGTAAATCAGAAGATAAGGTGGCTTCAAGGCTACAACCATCAACAGCACCTGCAACTAGACAAGATAACCAACAGCCTGTCCGGAGACAGTGAAGACATCCAGTAGGGTGTCAAAAGTGTCAGAAGAGCTCAGGCCAGAATCACTGTTGGGCCAAAGTGGCAGGTGAATAGTCTGAAAGGGTATAACTGCCCAGGGATTTTTTTGTTTGAGTCCCTCTCTCCACTTCTTTTCTGGAGATACCCAGCTTGACCTGATCCTGCTGCTGTACCATTTTATTAAATTATTTATTTTTAAATATTTGATGCCTGTGATTCTACTTTAGGAAAACCTAGGGTTTGAACTTCAGAGCAAACTAACACTGGACATCTGGAAAGAAGGTAAGTAATTAACACCATGATAAACTTTAAAATCCTAACTGATACAAAAAACTGATTGTACACATATAATCCTTTAGCCATAAATCACTGACCAACTCTAGGACTAAGTCTGGATTCAGCCATACCTAGACTCCTCTCTGAGGAATTTAGAAAGCAAGGGGGGGGGGTCATTCTGAACCTCGTGACTCAATGGGAGGTTTTCCTTATCCTTTGTATCTCTTAAGACATAACTGTTGACCAAATCTGAGACTAAGTTTGGATTTAGCCACACATAAGCTCCATCAGGAGTTTAGAAAGCAAGGGGTCCATTCTGAACCTTGTGACTCAATGGGAGGGTCTGTCTTACTGTCTTGCATCACTGACCATAACTATAAATTGATTCTAACTCAGTTTTCTGTTGCTTCTTCCATGTGGTAAGTAATAGAGTGAACCCTGCCATTGAATTCTGTTAAGTCACACTTTTACAAATCCATGTTAAAATCACTTTTGCTAATACCTTTGACCGTAATTCTTTAAGGATCCTAAATCATTCATTTGTGACAGGGTCTCTAGTACAGTATCAGCCAGCACACACAGCAAAACAGTGATAGTTCTTATTCTATGCAGTTACAACAGAATTATACAGGCACATTAACATCCTCTACCCACATACAAGTGGATGCAGTATGGGGATATAGGAGAGACAAAATAATTAAAAATCAAATTGCCTTAAATGGTGATGTATACCAGCATATCTGCAGACTCAAGTTTCTCCCAGAAATGGCCAAGTTACGCTAATGCCAGTATGTTCAGTGTGAGGAAGGATTTTAACTTCATCTTTGGACCATTCAATCTGACACTCCCATCTGAGTGAGTAGTTAACTAAAGAAAAAGGGCAGCAAGTAACAATCATTAATAGCTAATGTGAATGAAACAATCTTTAATAGTTGAAATTTAAGTTCATCTTCCTGGTCATTAAATGAGTATTACATTTGGGCTGAAATTATTTTATGGTTATATTCACATGGACCACAAAATCCTTAGGATCTGAAATAGCATGGAATATGCAAGATAATCACTGAGCTAAGTATAGACACTCATAGCGTATAACAAATACTCATAATGTATCATTTAAAATATGTGGTGATTCTTACGTTACCTACAGTACCAAAGCAAGCAAGTACATTTTGTATTCTTTTCAATGGGTATGCTTATATATTAAAAAATCATTGCTGTCTACTTTGAAGGCTGCTTTTGAAATTTATTTGTGTTACTGCCATGTTAAGACTGCAGTGAGGTAGGTGGAATTTCTTAAAATCTCTTTTCAACTAGGAACTTCAGTAAACATACCTTCTAGAGCCACTGCTCCAATTCCCTTGGTAGAAAGAACTTTCAGAAAATCAAATAGAAAATCAAATACCTGTGAAGCATAATGGGGGAGATTTCATGATTCACTTAGGGATGCAGTGCTAAACTTTCAGTCAACAGACAGTGGTAGGAGCAGATGGCTTTGCAGGCCATAAACTACTTTTGCACCATGCCTATCCTCTTCCAAAAATGTCCTGGAGACTTACTTTCACATCAGCCATAACAAAGCCTGGACTCTGAAGATATGTGGGCTTGGCCCTGATAGTGCTCTCATTTCTTTAGCCCAGGCTACTTTGGAAGGCACAGGGAAAGGTCTGTGAGAGGCAGCTGTACTCTAACCTGGGAAGCCTCTCTGACAGGCAGAGCAGTTGCAGAGCATACTCCCTGGCCCAGGTTCCTGGCACAGCATAAGAAGGTGCTCGAGGCTGATGGTCTCACCCAGGAATCCCAGTCTGGGTTATTTTCCACTCTTGTGCTGAAGTCTCATTTGGCTTAAAACCGCCACCTCTTTAGCCTAATGAGATACTGCTGAAATAACCTGGACATGTTGACGTGTTTAGTAATTCAGCTATGAATTTTCAGAGCTATTTGTCAAACGCCTTGCTTCATATTTAGATACCTTTGCCCTGCTGCCCTCCCACTTCAAAACACCATTACTTACTGATACACCTTCTTTTGAAAGGAAAAAGAGAAAGCTCTGCTAGAGATAAATTCAATCAAGTGATTAAATTTCAAAACCAGAATTAAATGCATTTACTCTAGAGCACTATGTCTTGTTTAAGCTTAATAAATAGCACTGAGAGCCAATAATAGCAAATAGGTTTAAATAGCAGTCCTAACACAGTTTTAAAAAGTCAACAAAACACATACATTTTACTTTTGTCTCTTTGCAAAAGTTTGAGACAATCCACCCCAAGTTTCATGAGATTGTACCAATCTGCTGAGAAAAACAGGTTTCAGAAGTTCATCCTACAAAGCGCACGGAAATTTGAAACTGCTTTTTATATTAAGATTGCTCATTTTTCAATAGATTCATTGCAATCCTTGGTGACTTGCTCCCAGAGTCTTCCTGAAAATATGCATCCTTTTTAGACTGCTTACTTCAGTGACAGGCAGGCACACTGATTCCAGCAAGTGTGACAGCTCAGTTCTAAAGTTAACAAATATTTTTCCCAAATAAATGAAATCCAAAGTTAAAAGAAGCCCACAAATCATCCAGCACAGTATTTTGAATATCTGGAACATGGTATGATCATGAAGTTCAGAGCAGCAGGAAGATCCCTTGGTACCCCAAGCAATCACCTACCAGTCTATTTTGTTTCTCATGGCAGTGTTTTTCAGGCTCTGTACAAGGCTCTTGAACATACAGATTACATCAATAGATTCATAAATGGCACCCAAAAAAGAGCAAATCTTTAAAAAAGCGAGCCATGAAGCTTAACAGTAGTATACTGGCATTTTTACTGCTAATAGAATATTATATATTTTTAATAGGATCTATAAAAGCAAAAAGGGTAAAAAATATTGCTGAATCATGAAGGAAGTCTATTAAGATGGTAGTAGGGCTGCTTCTTGGTTTGCGGTTCTTATGAAGCAGATATTCACAGACAATTTAGAAAAAGGAATTCCAAACTATGAGAAAGAAAAATAATGCAGTAACAGAAGGTGAAAATGTAATGAAGATAGGGCAGCATCTAGCTTTCACATGAGATGAATTAAAGCCTATGTATACATTTATTCTAACAATTTATTAGCTTCCAAAGGATCTACACAATGTTTTGTGTCCACTGAGACTTTCACCTCCTATTAGATATAAAAAAGGCTTTTCCTTTTACAAGGATGCATTTGCGCTGAGTTGGGGTGGGGGGACCAGGAAACAGACTTCAACATTACAGGCAGAGACAGCTAACACAGCTGGGAGCCTGCTCAGTTACCTGCCGTGTCTGTCAGCTTGGGTAAGATGGGAGTAGACAGGAAGACATGGGAAGAGATGGACAATCTCTGTCCACTGCAACAATGAAACGAGAACAAGTAGATATGCTTATGTGAAAGTTATAGGTCTGCAGATACTGCTCCTCCATCCTGCTAGAATATTTTAAAAAATTGAGCATTTTTCTCCCTGAACACTGGACTGTCCTTCCTCTACAAATCCTAAGCATATTCCAGTAATATCCATCAGCTCTAGATTGACTGTTGCAATTTGGTCTTACTTGGACTTGCCTGAAAATTGATCCAAAAGTATCAAAAGAAGCAAGATGCAGAGAAAATTCTTCCTTGGTGCAGTAGTGAGAGAGTAACACCTACACAATGCCACAGGCCCTGCTCACTGATATATCTATCACTCCACTTTCCTGACCTGCCAAGTTCTTCAGGACCTACGTGTAAGGCAGCAAAGGCAGCACACAGCTATGTTCCCTACAGACAGCAAAGAACAGCTAGGCTTCCTTAGCACTCTGCTGGGTGCCCCATCCCCCATTGTTGGGTCTACACACTTCATTGACATCATTCAAGATTCACTCCTCTTCCAGCACATCCAGCCCAGATACTGCCAACATCTGCTTTGGGCCAGAACACCTTGGCCTTTTGACTCCCATTTCCCCTTTCTCTTTGGGATCATTTGCTATATTTTATTTATTACAGCAGCTGGCTGTTCAAGTTTAAGATCCTCCTACACATGTGGGGTTTGTATATGCAAAGTATCATCTCCCCGTGGATGTGGGAGTGTCAGGACAAAAAAAAACAAAACCAAACAACTCACAAAAAAACCACCCCACCCAAAGTTGAGTATTTCAGGCTGCTCCCTTTGATTTGCACAGGACTACGTTACTGCTGTGTCCCAAGACACTTCAGCCTAAGGGCTGTACGCAGCCATGCTGTCGTGAGCCAGGTCACTGAACAGGGTAGCTCTGTTCAGCAGCTGGCATACTCTCCTCACTCCCGACAACTGGGTTATTTTGGCCTCTAACTCTCCAGAGATATCACCCTTACTCCACCATCTCCAGGCTGTCAGCTAGCTGGTAAAAAAGTGAGGTGGAAAGGGCTCTGCCTTCTCCCTTCACAGCAGTCAAGAGAGGCCCTAGGAGATAAAAACACTTCTCTACCCACACATTGTGCTCTGGTGCTGCTCAGGGACTGCAGGAATATTACACCCCTCCCTCCCTCCCTCCCCCCAGAGGCACAGAGTGACTCATACAAGCACTGACTTCACATCATGCAATCATCAAAACCAGCAGCAGGGTATGAGGTCCGAGGGGAAGATATTTCAAATAGTGTGCCCTGAAGCCACCAGAGTTGTGCAAAAACACCAACTCCATTCTCTGCTCTGGGACCTAGGGAAAATTTCTTGGCTCTCAGGTGTGTACGCACTGCTTCAACAGATCGCAGTCCCATGCTGGGAGGAGACACAGGAGTATGCCATTCTCTCTGACTTCTGCAGCTTGCTTTCCACAAGATGAAATTTTGGAATAGCTGTAACCCATATGGGTCCCACCCTGGCCAGAACTACAAGGCACATGGTGGACACCCCTCCCTCTGAAGCTTTGGCATAGCTTGTGTGACAGCACTCAGCATCTGGGACACTTGCTGCAGTTTGCAAGATAAAAATGGAGCAAGTTGCAATGAGAAAGGCAACTAATGTGAAAATGGCTCTCGCAAACACGTAAGTAAATAATAGGTTAATCACCTAAGTGCCAGAAGATGATTTGCACATTGCTTTACAGAAAAAAAAAGGTCAAATGGAACAGATTTGTCACTTGCAGCAATGAACGGTGGTGGAGGACATCTATACATCCTTGAAACACATCAGCAATCGGATATGAAGCAATACCTAAAGTGAAAACTAGTAAAAATAGTATACTTAAATGCAAAGTGTGTGTCATAACTGACCTAACTCAAAAAGTCTTTAGGGTTTTTTGTATGTTAAATGACTACAGATTTTTTTTTTTTTCTTAAATTAGTTTAATTATGTTCCTCATGGTCAGTAAAATAGTTGCTAGCTTTTACACAGGAATTTTCCACTAGAGTTTTATTTGAAATGCTCACTGGTACTGCAAAGGACAACTGTAGGACTCTCTCACTTCCAGGTTAAGTTACTTCAGAAACCGCAAGCTTTAGACAGTCCAGAAAATGAAGTTTTCTGAGTAGTTTGTATACACCTCCACAATTCCAGAGGCTGTAGGGATTCATGCTCCTATGTCACCAGCATACCTTTGGGAAAAAGTCAAGCAACATTTGGAGTGTAAGGCTTCAAGAAGGTTAGGCTTCTATTATTGAATGTTCTGCCTGTATACATCTAACAAACTAGTTCTGAATTCTTCAAAGGTTAGTACACAAAGAAAATAATTAGTTCTTAGCACTAATACAAATCTACTCTGAAGTGCCAGAGACCATACAGAACACAGTGTTTATCAGGCAGTTGTTTGGTTCTACACCCTAGTCACATGCAACTGCCAGACCACCATGAATGAACACTCAGAAAAGTAAGCTTTTAAGATGCAAGTGCACAGACACCACCACCAAGGTCAACAGCATTAGACGTGGGAGTAGCATCGCCTATCATACCTTTATGTTCTATAGACTCACAGGCTTCATTTGCAGTATTTTGGCTTTTGCTATACTGAAATTGAGAGATTCGAAAGCATCATGAGGACAGTTTATTAATGAACAGAGATGTAATTCAAGCCTTATACACTACAAGCTGAAGATTTAATTAACCTCTGTTTTTAAATAGAACACACGATAAATTCATAGTTTACAAGAGAGCTTAAAAAACCCACACAAAATAGGGTATTTAAAACTATTCTTATTTATATCTGGTATGAAAAATCCTACATTCATATTTACAGTTCACATCTAGTAAAAAAAGTCCTTTTTTCACAGAACTTATATTTAAAAAATAGTAAAAACCCCTCAATCATCTGATATAAATGAAACTTAATTCCAAGAATACCACTTTAACGGCAGTTTTAATGTAGGAAAATGAGTTGTTAAGTTCAGCAAGTGACCAGACCCCTACAGTTTCCAGTCTGGGTTCTACCCAGATGGAGACAGAATCAGGTAGGAAGGTAACTGGCTAAAGTTGTATAAGGAAGAAAGGATGACAAGTACTCCTGGGGTTAGAGAAAATAGACCACAGGCAGACATGGGAGATGTTTCTCAGTTCTAGATCCTTCTCATGCCAAGGAGCCTGGCTGTATTACATGTCTGGCCAACATGCTCTTTC